AGGTATAAAGTTGTGACTGAGTTTAAGGTTGTCTTGGAAAATGTATTTTAGTATAGATAAATACAAGAAAACCAGCTTTAACTTTACCTCCCTGAATTGTTTTGTTATATATAAAGCTCAATTGGGAAATAACGAAATTTATAATCAAACGTATAAATTAGCTTTTAAATCATAAAATTTAAGTAACGTTTACAGAGGTTGAATACGTTATGTTAATCGATTTTGAGGCCTCACAACGTCGTTATAGTCCATGTCGCCACGTCATTTCCTGCTCTATCTTACGACAGTGTATCTTGATACTAACCCTGCAACGTAGTTTAAATTGCAAACGCTTCCCTCGTGACGTTCGTTTATACTCAAAGCATACCACTTCTACTTGAATAATTTCAATGATTCATCCAGTGCACGAGGACGACAGTTTCCCAGCACCATTTTCAACAGTTTGATCACATAGAAATTCATAGGCGTTGCGTCTTTGTATAAAATAGCATAAATACCAGCTTCATTCTCTATCTGCGTGAGGTACGAGACGGTTGAACGGATATGTCGTGGAAGCAACTTGTGTATATGTAACTCGTGTCACTTTTTCGAACGGGAATCAGTCTTGACTGCGTTACAAACTGTTGCCTGGGACACGTGGACGGTTTTTCCTCACTGACCTTTGTGTTCGTGGAGTCTCACATATTATAAGACGTCATACTTTTCTTACCACGCTTTCTGAATATTCCTGGTGCCTTATGTTTTTCATATTCCTTTGTTTTCCAATGCCATTAATCCGCGACCTGAACACATCTCTATAATCACAGCGTATGAATACTTCACTTTACAAAGAACTGTTACGCACCCTTCCCCAAACCGATTAATTTTTGGTGATATCACACTGTACGTAAGTTTAAATATAATCTACTCATCCTGTGTATTAAACTTAGCCTACGTTCTGACACTGCAATATTAAGAATTTTAAACTTGAGTTATCGCTAAGTATATCGTACAAAAAATAAATCACTTTGTGTCATATATTTCTGTTCTAAACAAACAAAGAAAACCAACTAGCCTTGTTAACCTTCGCTAGAATATCAACATTATATATATTTATACAGTGATTGTACTCTGGAAATATTGAAGTAAATATAAATATTAATAATTTGATATTAATTAAGGATACACTACCAGGTGTGGATAAACTGTTGTGACGTAATGTAAGTAGTTCGAAGAATTCTATCAAATAAATGTGAACAGCATTAGTTTTCGTTACAAGAAAACGTATACATCCATTGTAATATGTGAGTAAAGTACCAGTAGTGATCTTATGCGTCTCTTAGAAACCACTTGAATAAACGTTCATGACAAAAAAACGTCCGAGTTAACAGAATTTAATGTTTATAGATTACATACATTCGTCGAGGTTGAGTAAATGTAGATTTTTCAAATGATATCAAGAAACGTTTTTATAGATGAAAAAAAAAATACATTAATGAAACATGTCAGAAAAATCTGCTACTGCTGTGGAAGGAATCAATAAACGTTCACAGTTATATGCCAACGCAAAGTGTAGCATTAAAAAAAATGTATTTTTTGATGGCTTCTCTTATTCAAAATGTTTCTTTAATAAAGACAATATTTCAATCTATTTTTTTGTTAAGATATGAAGGCTAAATGGATTTTTTTTTGTTATTTCTGAAAACGACTCTCTTTTATTCTACCGTTTTGTATCAAAGTAAGTGAATTTAAGATTAAAATTTTTAATTTTTAAAAGAGAAAAACAAAACGAAAATTCAAACAAGAGTCAGGAGCTCCAGCTGACGAGCTAGCTTTATTTAGAACATATATGAATGACACTAATGTTAATAAAAGCGAAAAACAGAATAACACTGATTTCTGGAAAAACGTGGACTTTATAAGACATTCTGATTTCACACTGGAAGTCCATATAATTCCGAGAGTCCTCATAGCTCCGAACAATGATGGTACTTTAAAAGTATGAAAGACGTCAATTTTGACTGGCAGACGATGTGTGTATAAGAGGTTTTTTTTTTATCTGTATGTTACATAAGGCATGAGTTTCCTCGGAAAGATTGTCTGCTAATGTGTGAAATGTGTGAATATTACGTGTATTTGAGTCAGACAACGAAAGAGTTAAGTTTTACTGTAAATTTCTTTAATCGTAAGATAAAATGCACACTTGTCTATGAAGTTCTTCCATAAATCTGTATATGTTTCCCGTTTGTTCGAAAACTTAGTCCTAGGGACGGAGACTAAATAATCCTTAGCTCACAAAATCAGGGAAATAGTAGAACGAAAGCATTGTGTTAACATTAAGATAATTAAGTTTAATTAATATCTGATTTCTCTAGTGATGTTTAAGTATTTTACCGCCAGGAAAAGAAAACGAGAGTTAAAAACCACTGTATTTAGCTGAGAATTCGTTAGAATTTCCTATTAGGCTTAACAACACGGAACTACGGCTGTTTTTCAGCAACGTTAGGTTTTATATAAGTTAGCCGATTAGAACAGTCTAAAGTACAAAGCCTCGACTTTGTTATCAACACAAATCTAACAAACACTCTTGTGTTATAGAGTGACTTTTATCACTAATAACACCAACAGGGTTAAGGAATTCAAATAGTCATTTCCAAAACTTTAAACAATGTTTTCACGTCTAGCAACTAAACAATACTTACTGAGAGAATTGAACTTCAAATGATATTTGTCTAACTTTTAAAACAGTTCATACCCAAAGTGTTCTTATCAGTTCATGATACAAAAACTGGGAGAAATAATCTAATATTTCATTACGACTGGAGTTTACACTGCACTTGTGAACAAAGGTTTATAGTTAAAAGGTTGATGTGAGAGGAAACTTTACACTTAACATGTTAAAGAAACATATGTAAATCTGAACAAGTATATGTTTAGTTCAGAACACACACACACACACACACATAGGGTAAATACACCACCACGTTGTAACATATACACACCATAATATCCTACATGGGTTTAATACACCACCACATGTAGGATATTATGGTGTGTATCATGTTACAACGGGTTAAATACACCACCACGTTGTAACATGGTACACATCATAATATCCTGCATGGGTTAAATACACCACCACGTTGTAACATGATCACACCATAATATCCTACATGGGGTAAATACACCACCACGTTGTAACATGTACACACCATAATATCCTACACGGGTTAAATACACCACGACGTTGTAACATGTACACACCATAATATCCTACATGGGGTAAATACACCACCACGTTGTAACATGTACACACCATAATATCCTACATGGGTTAAATACACCACCACGTTGTAACATGATCACACCATAATATCCTACATGGGTTAAATACACCACCACGTTGTAACATGTACACACCATAATATCCTACATGGGTTAAATACACCACCACGTTGTAACATGATCACACCATAATATCCTACATGGGTTAAATACACCACCACGTTGTAACATGTACACACCATAATATC